ACCCTATATCTGACTCTTTTAGTTTTAGGACTTACAAACAACCGTTATGTGAACAAAACTATAATACTCTCTTTAGCAACTTTGTTGCGAGAGTATCATTATAAATTTTCTTTCTTATTGGCAAAATATAATAACAATAAAAAAAAAATTCTTTTAAGCAATATAAAGCAAATAAAATGAAATGTTAAAAATATTTTTTACTAACCCACAAAAACAGTCATAACAATTTCCATTACTTTACAGTTATGTAATTGGTTTCCCCTTTTGCATTACAACGAATTCGAAAACCATTAGCCAATCACTCAAATGATTAATATCTAAAATATTGCCGCTCAAAATATTTACTATTAATAAGCATTTTTGCATAATATTTCACCACTTACCATAATTAAAGCATTTTTATTACAACACAAATACAAACAAACACACATTATAACTGTTTCGTGTTTTCTGTTTTTGCACCCGCAGGGTCATCGTCAAACCACCGCTTGCACGGTTTTATTTATGGCGCTGTACTTCTGCTGCATGGCCGCCTTTGCTTGGTGGTCGTGCTTGGCGTTCGCCTGGTTTTTAGCCGCCGGCCTCAAATGGGGTCACGAGGCGATCGAAAATAAATCGCATTTATTTCATTTGGTCGCCTGGGCCATACCGGCGTTGCAGACAATTTCGGTGCTGGCATTGGCCAAAGTTGAAGGTGAGTGCAACCAACAAATACTATTTACTTATATAATATAACCACAAATAATTTTATTGCGCGGAGGTTGGTGGGGGTAGTATGAGGGCAATTTTGTATGAAAGCTCGTATTTACATAAAATAAAATCACAACAAAAGCATAGCAAAGCGTGCAATAACTAAAAGCAACAACACAGGCGGCTAGCAACGCGAAATTAAATGGAAAAGCATTTTTTGTAAAGAAAAAATTTATGGAAATCATTTGCCAAATGGCTTTATTTGTGTCGCAATTAAGTGCTGTGTAGTTTTCGGAAATGTTTTTATACGCGTTTGATGGCATTACATAAGTGAGTAAACAGTTATTTGCTCTTTTGTGAATGTAAATAACTTAAATTATTTGAAGTGAGTGTCATATACTATGGGCAAAAATTAGTAAGACTCTGCTGATAATTTTAAAATTCTTAATTTATTCTTCAAAATTTATGTTTTCCACCTAAAAGTTAAATTTTTCCAATCCTCGAAACAGTTATTGCAGTACATTTCCAGAATAGTCTTCAGTGCGAGTAGCAATTCACGTTTTATGTCTTCAATTGACCCGAAATGGTTTCGCTGAAGCGATCGTTTGAGCTGGCTGAACAGCCTGAAGTCGCAAGGAGACAAACGTGGTGAATACGATGGTTGCGGCATAATATTGGTTGAAAACATCATGAAGAATCAATGCAGTATGCGACGATGCATTATCATGGTGCAAAAGCCAAGAGTTGTCGGCCCTCTTTTACGAATAGCTACGCGCAAACGACGCATAACGCTGTAAAAACATTCCTTGTTAACAATTTGCACCACACTTCGATAATCGAAGATAACTACCAACACAAAACCTTGCTTTAAACCGGCCTTGACGTGGTTTCTTTGGCTACGGCTCCCCTTTGGCATGATAATCGGCCGATTGATCGTCTGTTGCTGACCTGGTAAGCATAAATTCAAGACTCATCGTTAGTAATAAAACCTTTCATGGCAACCTGGTAGTCAGAAAGCATTCTTTCACAGACTTTAACGCCACGTTGTTTTTCGAAAAAATTGTGTATCTGTTGAGGTAAGTGGTCGCATGTTGTTCTGTTGAACCACAATTGTTCTCCTACTTCTACTATTGCGCGTTTTCTGCCTTCATTGCTTTTCCTTCCATTATCTCAATCTATTACTCTTTTCTGCCGCTCCCTCCAACTCTAAACTTTTTATCACTCTCCTTGTCTAAATACTTAACAGATCTGCTATAGAAATCCTGTACCAATTCAAGCCTCTCGGCTTTCTCCATGTATCAACCAATTATGCATTCGGGAAGTGTTAATTGGAAATGTTATGTTTTCAGCAAAATTAGATGAAATAATCGTCTTCCGTCTAGGAAATTGGTAAATTGCTTTTCAACACAGCAATTAAAGAAAACCTCTTCGGTGACAAAGAGTGTGCTTTCGATTCTTTATATACAGATAGCCAACTTTGAAATCACAAATATCATATCGCATATGGATCGAAAATTGCTTACAGTAAGTAGTCTTATTCGTGGTAACTGTGAAGCTGAACAACCCAGAGAATGCAACAGGTACTTCCTTACAATTAGTCTCTGGAAAAGAGGGAATTTATATGCCACTGGCTACATGTAAATATTTAATAGTTTGTCGAGTTATAAATTTAGCGGTGCCTCAGTGTAGGAAATCCCTAATAGTAATGAGTCACACGTGGCAAGAATGGAATATGGGTCTCACATGTGGACTATTAATATTCAAAAGGGATAATTTGAGTTTAGAAGTATTAACAGGTCACTGCCTAATTGGCTAACATGCCAGCAGACTACGATCATCATAAAATTGCTAGAATGTCAGAAGGTGGAAGAAAAGCCGACGGTAAAACATCTTCCGTGAGAATACAAGGCTTTATATTGAAGAAAAAAGAAACGGTCAAGAGTGCTTGGACGATGCTTCGGATTGCACAGATAAAACTTTGTATGTATTAATGAACTTCATTAGACGACATAATAGAGTGAGGGTTTGGTTTCACAACTGGACATCCAAAGGCCTCGTCACACCACAACTTTGACGCGCTCTATAAGGCCCGAATATGGATACTATAAGTTAAAATAGAGTTGGCACACTGATACTCATATTCTTTTGAGATCTTTACTCTTCATATTGTACTCTCCCTATTGTAGTAGTACATGCACTTCAGAGTGCATGAAGTTGCCTATGTGTCCAGTTAGGTGGAGTAGATACTACAGAGGGCCACAAGTTTGACCTGAAGTCTTAACATAAGTTTGTTGAACTATCCAAGTTTCAAATTTTAGTGTAGAGCAGTTTACACTAAAGCTTTTGTAACCATTCGCCATTTCGTCGTGCGTCTCAAAAGCCACAGCGGCTGCCCACCTCCGCACGTAATATGAATGCTCAAATTTCCGCCAACAATCATGGCAACAATTGAGTCATTAAATATTGACATTTGTTGCCATCACCTCGTCGACTCAATTATCATAAAAAAGTAATCTTTTGACCGTCATTATAAGTAATGTGCTTGCGCGAGCCTACCTAGACCACGAGCGTACCTAGTGCTGGTTACGCGTATGTGTGGCTGTTGAAGAGCTGAACTCGCATGCTCAAATATAGACAATTCGCATTGAGGCAATGAGTTGAGTTACAACAACAACTACAACCGTAGCGTATACGAAAACCATTTATAGCTTATTGACCAGCTTTGCATGCGTTGGCCTTTAAGGCCAACCCAAAAGCCGGAGCCGAAACCAAAGCCAGTCAGCTATCAGCGCGCCGTACCATAATAAATGGTAATGTTGATTGTAATTATGGAAGCATTTTGGCGGCGTCGTTGGCGGCTGTGATTACACGCTAGGCATTTTTTGCGCTGTGAGAAAAAATACTTTATTTTTGTTGTCGGTTTTTTCATTTTTAAGTTTATTTTTTTGTTTAGCTGCCATTTCATTTTTTGTTCTAGATTTAAATTTTTATAGCGTGTTGCCACGTTGTTGCTGTAATTTAATACCTTCGACTCTGCGGCATGAAAATTTTATCTTTTTACGGTATTTTTATTTTTCGTTCAAACTGGCGTCGGGCGCGTTGTAATCTGAGTCTATTTTTTTCAGATTTAACATTTTTTTCTGCGCTGGTTACGCCTTCCGTAAGCCGTTCTGGGTGGAGTTCTTTTTGTTGTTGCTTAGGCGCTTTTTTGCAAAGATTCTGTTTCTGTCGCTTTGTTGTGGTTTTATTCTTGTTTTATGGTATGTTTTTTTTTCTGCGCTTTGCGTTTTGTAGGCCAAAAGGCAAAACTCATTAAATTACCGCAACGCGTTGTGCTCCTCGCCACCACATTATAAATTGTTTAATGTGGTTTAAATGAGCTTAATATGGTCTAAAGACTGGTTAAAGGTTTAGCGTTAATGTGTTTGTAAGGGGATGTGAAGAGCGCGAGAGCGTAAAAGCAGGCGCTCGCTTGCCGTGACAAGTAAAAAAGATGAGAAAGCCTTTGATGCGCGGAAATGCTGTGTTAAGCAGCGCATTAGTCTACCTTTAATTAACGGTGCTTTATTATACAATCCAAGTATGGCTTTTATATTTTTTATTCAACTTATAATATTCTAAAAGAAATATATTTAATGCGAGAAAAAGTGTGTGAATAACTCGCATTATTATACTAATTTTTATATAAACCAGCTGAGAATTCCACACACGCTTGAACGAAATACATTATTTGATTTCAGTCGAACAATCGCTTATGTATTTATTGCTTTCTATTAAATTATTTCTATTCAAATAATAGGATTATTTGATTGTATCATTGCCAAAATGTGCGCTATAGAGTCTAATATCATCACGAATTCCCGTGTTCAAAAATGTTCCAAAAACTTCTCCCATAAATTTTGCATATGTTATTCGATTTAATCTAGCTCTTTCAACAAAAAATAAAACAGAAAAAAATAAGCTAATTCAGCAATGCTGTAACCCAAGTTCTTATAGACCCTTCAATGTAATCTCTGTCAGTTATGATAACAGCCTTATTTTTTGTATTCACTATATGCATAAAAACACCAACCTTGAAAACCTTTCTGGTCCACTTTTTTGACGTACTACTTCAAGTTAAAATAGTCGCTTTTTATCGCTATAACGAACTATTGACTCGTATTGAGGCCAAAATTTAAATATTTCGAAATTCGAGAACATTATTTTTGACCTGTAAACCAGATTTATTCACAGCCTTCTCCTAGAAACCTCTGTTGTACACATTATTGACATACTATTTTTACCGAGAATAATGAATTCTTATCGCTGCGACCTGCTTCGTCATATCTTTCAAATATTTCGAAAATCTATAGCTCTATTTACCGCTACACTAGTATCCGAAATTAATTGAAACCTGACAAGCTTTTTATTCACGCGGTCTCGTAAGAATACAGGATGATTGCTGGCCTATTCACTGGTTACAACATACTGCCATAATGCCGGATGGTAATAACGATACATCGAGAAAGCGCAGGGAAGTAGACATGACAGACGCTGAAATAATCCCTCTGCTAGTGTCTGGGCATAACTAGAACATATGTTAAATATCTGGAAGCTTCGCAGTGCAAGCGGCTGGATGCAGTATCAGAATTAGATATCCAGTCTCTATTATACGTCGCCAGAAGTATTTGAAACTGAACTGGCATTACAATAGACCTCTAGCTTCTATGGCGTAACAGCCAGCCAGTATAACATAACCTAAACTAATTGATATTTTACTTTTACTTTATTTCCATGATTTAATCCAAAAATCTTTAAATAGAAAATCAAGCATTTTACACTACCGTTTTAAAAGTTCCAAGGACAGTTGGCTTGATGTAGATAGATAGAGAGTAAAATTGAGTCCTTGCACTGCGACCTAGGGACTATTGTCCCTTTATCACATATGGTTATAAAGGTCCATCATTCTGGACAATTCCAGTAGGATGCTGGTCGCGACTGAGGTGATGTAATCCCTGTCCACGT